GGGGGGGGGGGGAATCAAAGTAATTCATTCGGCTTTGGAGAAACAAGCGGGCTGAATGATGAGTGAAAGGGGAAACAAATGTCTCTTACCAGTTCAAAGCGTCTAGTAGTCCGCAGCAGTGTATTCCATAGCCGTTATGAAGGAACTGTTAGACAGTGGTGAGGACTGCGCTGCTGCTGCTGCTGCTGCTGCTGCTGCGGTGGCCCTGATGTCGCTCTGCTGCTCGTCGTAGCCGCTGCGTGTGATGGCGTTAGCTCTGCAGGGCCACAATGAAACTGCTGCTGCCTTCACGGGCCGTGGGACTACTGAATGAGAGCCCGCGATTTGATTTGACAAGAATCAACAAAGAGACGTATTCTACAGAGAGGAATAGCGCAGGACGTAGGACCAGCTGGTAAAGTGTGTGGTTTTCTCAGTGGTCGACTAAAGAACGCAATAGCCATTAAAAACTATTTATTGGAATCTTTGAGTGACTTTGTTTAAATTACCACCAATATTATTGTTTTCCCTATACATTTATCGACTCTAGTTAGCACTGATATACAGTTTGTGTGTGTTTCTTAAAGAAAAACAACGACTGCTAACGCCTTTTAAAACTTTGGTTACTTTGTTGCTTTTATTTTTATAAATGGAAAAAAATCGGTGTATTGACAACTCAAATTTCAGAGGTTTTTAAGCACTTGTGAAGTTAGCATAACGGGCCCGGTCCATTGACTGACAGGACGCTCTCCCAATCAAAGAACAGCCCAGGATGGGAGGGGGTGGAAGGGGTTGCTGTGTATGTGTATAAACAGATTTCTAAGATTGAGATGTCTAGTAAAACTATGACAACGTTCAGGAGGATTTTATAGAGATATCACTGCAAAAACTAAACAGGTGGTAGACTTTGACTAGCTTTTAAAGGCGTAATAACATAGGGGATAAAAGTTATTAATAGAAAATAAGATACCGCCTAAGCTATCTAAAACACATCTGTTTTGAAACCTGATGGTTATATTTCTGAGATGTGTGAATGGGTTTGGGGAAATAGATGGAAGATGAGCTGCTGTTTTTCTGTTAACCTATGCCTCTAATGAAGTGATAAACAGCTGTATGAGCGTCAGTGTATCTTTGGTTTTCTACTTAACGCTGGAGCGCCATCTTCTGTCTGCACGTAGAACAGCACTTTAGTCCAATAAGGTCTGCTCAACTTCACAAGCAGCTGGAGGAAAGCTCTCAACAAACACAGCGGAAAACACGTTTTTAAGAGTTCAATCTTGTTCATCAGTTTCCCCTTTTTGTTGTTATTGCTGCTGAAACTAAAATGTGGTCTCTGGAATCTGATGCATTACACTGGGATGCATCAGATTTCAGGGGGTCTTCAATGTTAGAATGTAGACTCTTACCATTCCCCCCTCAATAAACAGGTGTTTTATTGTCACATTGCAGTTTAAATGCTGTTTTAGAGGTTTTTTTTTTTACATTGCTAAATTTAGCAGAAATTCTCCAAAAAAAATTCCATTCCAAATCCATATAATTGATGTCAAACCGTAGTAACTATAAGCTGAGTCCATTGGTACAGGATCTCTCACAGCGCTTTGAGTCCGGCCTGCAGACGGTTGGAGCAGAGCTGCAGTGACACTACAGGACGGTAAGGGGGTGCAGTGGGCCCTGCTGGATCCTCTGCTAATTCAAGTGCCAGTTGTTGTCTGATGTCTGCGGGCCGGCCGGTCAGTGTTGACAGCCCCGCTGCCCTCTGCCAGCTTCCCACAGCTCATAACCTCCAGCTGTTCCTATCACACTGACCGCTACTCGCACACGAGCACCATCCACTGAAATAATGACACATTGTATCACACTTGATATAGCATTATGGGATTGGAACAGGGTTATAGATCACTATTACTGCATAGTTTGACCATAATTATGAAGTTCTAACAGTATTCTGAAGTCAAAGCTGAGTTATCCATACAGTACATCCAGAACAAATGGGTATTACATTACACTTTATTATATCATTTATTTTTGGTGTGTTTAATGTTTGATAAACCTTTTTGTCAGATATCATCAAATGACTGATGCTCAGACTCGGACATTGAGGTCCTGCTTGAACAGCGCATACACCATAATGTAGAGGGAGGTGGGCCTCCCCAGGGGGGCTCCAAACTGTTTCAAGGGAGGCTCAGTGAATGCAAGTTAAACAATATTACATTAGTTATCAAAAGGAGATCACATACAAAACACCTAATGTGTTTGGTGAAAGAGATAGTTCAGAGTAGTTTTGGGGGATCAGAACAAACAAATGCCTTAGGACAGAGCTTTTTGTATGTGTTTGGTGCAGTTGAAGTTCCATCTAACAGCAATATCAGGCTCAACGGTTGAGTGTCTGTGGGATCAATAACATAACAATGATCCCACAGGAATCCAGCAATTGAGCCAAACTAAGAAAGTAAATTAAAGTAGTGATTTTAAAAAATGATGCCTGCTTGACACTTCAAAAAGGGTGATGCTACACCTGTGTTCAGCAAGTCAAAAATAACCACTGCAGCAGTCAACAAGTAACTGCTTTTCTGAAAAGTAACTAATGAAATCTTAATGTATGTAAAGTAACAATAGGTTACAATTAGGATGCATGATTTTGGATTTTTGCCGGTATTTTCTCCCCCGTAGTGGAATGAACTTATTATGCCTACTCTCATGGTGAGGGCCCACTGGCAGATGCAGAAATAAAATGGGGAGTAATGGATTACATGTAACTGAGATATATAATCAGGATACAAAAAAAGTTAACAGTAATCTATTACAGTAACAAAAAAAATATGTAATGAGATTACAGTTGCAGTTAAGTAAAAATGGGGATTATTAGCATGATTACAATTTTAAAATAGTTTTTGTAAACTGAAAACAATTTTGATGCTACTTAGTTTCCATCTTCTTTTCAAAGGTTACATTGTTCAGTTGTGTTATAGAATACTTTCATCTTCTTATTGATAATGCTTCTCTCTTGTTTTTACTTACATATTTGGTGTTGAGGTAATCCAAAACTGTCATATGTGGTCCAAATCAGATACAGGTCGGATTTTTTGCAATATGACTTTAGTGTGAACAGTCATAAGTTTTAAGTCACTCTAGACCATTGGTTCCCAACCTGGGGGTTGCCAAAGCTTCATTGGGGGAGTCACAAGGCTTTCTTGATTTTCAGGCACGTAAGAAAACTAAATGAAAACAGACACAGTAGTTCTATATCTCAGCATTTGGTTCACTTCTGTGAAGTAGATATAAAGTAAACTGTCTAATAGAACGATGGCCAAGCATCAGGGGCAAAACACTGGATTTGTTAAAAAAGAAGCCTGTTACATCTGTTGATTATTAAAAATGATAAAAATACATAATACAGACAGAATTGTATAAAACCCTAAACAGGAAATAATCTGCTCAAAATTCATCTAAATTACTCGTTTTACACAAACTTCCTGCAGTTAGTGAGTTCACTGTTTGGGTTCGTCATATAGTTGTGAATATAATATGAAATATATATAATATATATATAATATAAAACATGTCAGTCAGGGGTCGTCAGTTTATTAAATGATAGAAAGGGTCCATTAGGTAAAAGGTTGGGAACCACTGCCCTAGACTGCCATTCATCGTGCGGGTCACTTCAGGACCGGGACCTGTTCAATACCTTCGCCTACATTAGCAAACGCAGCAATATATTAAGTGAATACATTCATTCAGAACAGGAGGCAACTCAGGTAAGGCCACACCTGAATAATACCTGCGACTGCGCATCATGTAGCTCAGCTGGTCGTCCACAGACACCCTTCACGGTGGGGTTGCCTGGTTTTGTTAGAGGACTGGAGAACAGTCAGGCGAGCTTCTCTTTCATAATAACCACACCGACGGCTCTCAATGTGGGTGATTACATTCGCAGTGTTAAAGGAACGACCCGTTTCCACAGCGGCCATTTTGAAAGGCAGGGTAGACACAGGTGTTAAGGTTAATTAAGGTTCCGTTCCATTCAGGTCAGAGAGTCAGGTTGTGCACGTTGAAGGGCTCTGCTACACTAAATGGAACTGAACCTTAATTAGTCTCATTGGTAATAGCTGTGTTTACCGTCCAAACGGCTAACAATGCAGCAACTCAGCTATCATTACAGAAACAATAGTCAATAAAAAGAATGAATTCATCAGAAAAGTAATTTTCTTTATAACACAAGACAGTACAGCAACCGACTCGTTGCTGTATAATTCCAGCAAGTTCTCAGTCTAAAACAGTGCCACCTTAGAAGAAAGGATATTTTCAATTGACAAAAGGTGTACATTTAACCATCAGTTACTCAAAGGAAGAAACAACAGAGATATTGTTAAAAATAAAAACAAAAACAGAACTGTAGCCATTAAAAGAATCAAATAAAAATAAAGAATTGAGCAAGGGGCCAGAGTAAATTATATTCAGATATAAGTGCATAGAGTTTCCTTGCATGAATGCTTTTTACCTTTTTTATGCATTTGTTAAGAAAATGACAGAAAATTAATATTTTAGTGCATTCTACAGTGGGGGAATTAGCATAGTTAAGAGTATAATTCAAACATCTCATTGGCCTCCCTGAAATGGTTTCATTTTAAAGTCTTTATCGGCTCCTATCAATGGCATATCGTGCATCCCTAGTTACAATCATCTACTTTCATATAATCAATCATATCTTTGTCTGGAAGGAAAATATATTTCTGTGTCGGAACATCATCCAGAGAAACTCAACCTTATTTTGTGGCCTTATCTAACAAAAAGTAAAAGCAACGCATCACTTGATGGCCCAGAGTTACTTTCTGCTGTCAGTTCATTATAATTACATCCCAATATTGGCCTATTGCAGATATATCGGTATCAGCGTATATGTTATCTGATATGCACAGATGTGATAGCTTTTTTTGCCCAGTATGTAATGCAGTAAATAATGCTGGTGGTAATACACTATATTGGCGTCAGTGCAAGGTTTGTCCAGCAGAGTGCGCTGTGATTTACAATACTGTGGCAATCATTAAGAGTAAGAGAGTAGAAGCAACATGTTAAAAAATATTAAATATTATTTAATAAAATTATTTGTTTAAGGAAAAATCTGTGCAAAATAAAATCCTATGACGGTCAGGCTCTACTTAATTTGAGCCTGTTTCCACAGCCCCCGATGCAATCTAACAGAAGCACCACAGACATTCTGCTAACAAATCTTTATTGTAAAAATGAAGTCAATAAAAACACAACTTGAGTCACAGACTTTAGTTCGGCAAAATCTCTGTATAAATGTAAAGTATATAGATACATCAACACAATAATTTTACAATAAAAAGACAACATGTAAATCAAACACTGAAATGTTTTTACTTTAAAAATTCAAGTATTGGTTGATGAGCTGCCACAAAAGATGTAATACTCACTGTTCACCTGTAAGTGTCAGTGTTTCCTTCAAGACAGTTCCTGCTGTTAGTTTTGTAGTAAATCTGAGTGCACTTCACATTCTGTCAAGAAATGGACCATGGACTTGTATTGTCACCAGACAGCAGAGATTCACTGTGTCAATGCTGACTGACTTTAAAATACTAGCAGTTTATTTACTGCCTGAACTTCATGACATTAAATGTAATCTGCAAGTGTCTACTGCCACTCAGCTGACAAATACAAGCTACTGTTCTGATAATACTGGTACCGGGACGTTTAGTTCAATTCACTGGCCGCACTGACAGAAGACTGTGCCACTTTGTCTCAGCCAGTTTGAGTCAAACTTCCTGTTCCAAGATTTATGTTTATACTTGTTACATGACAGAAATATACAAGTAAAAATATACAAAAACAAAAATCAGTAATAGTACCGCTGTGGCTGGCCAGGCTGTGTGGTCTGTGTGTTTGCATAGATTAACAGGACAAACATCCCAACAGGGAAGTGTTTTCTGTATCATCTTAAAGTAACCCTAACGCTGTACAGGTCGGGGGCATTGTCATGTTGAAACAGGAAAGAGACACAATCGGTTGACACAAAGATGGAAGAAGGCTATTGTCTAAGATTTCATTGTGTACTGTAGCATTAAGATTATATGGAACTAGGGAACTTCCCTGGAACTAAGGGGCCAAAATCAGCCCAGACTGGTACACAAGGTTATGTGGATAGGAGTGTTTTTGTACTTTTAGGTAAAAACTGTCAGGAAAATAAATGTGCTTACTGTAATAATTTTTATGTAATTTTATGAGACTTTTCCCTCCGTCCTCGATTTCTGTGTGGGGATGTGGGTCGGATTTTCCACAAAAGTCCAAAGGAGTCCACTAACGTTGGCTGTGGACTGATTTCTATGTATTTCTATGTAGGGATTTGGGTCGGATTTTTTGCACACTGTGCAACACTCACTAACGTTAGTTTATAATTGAAGTGTGCTAACGTCTATTAACGGACTGGGGCTGGTCTGGCTGGCTCTATGTCTGCAGGTTACTTTGTCGCAGGGCGGCCGGCCAAATCTGCAGTTTCCCACAGTTCTCAAGAAATCTTTTACCATCTTTTAGCTTATTGTTTTGGTTTTCATCCAAATAGGTGGAAAATAGGTGTTCTGACAGCTGAGAGAGGATGAAGTGTAGTGTATAATCACCTAAAAAATAAGAATGTTTTTGTTACTTTTGTTGCTATCTTAGAATGAGCCGTTTTTATCTACAGACTGCAGGTCGCCTTAAATGGAGTCCACCCTGTTGAATCGCCATGTTTCTACAGTAACCCTGAACAAACAACACACGTATTTCTATAATGGCTCCTGTTTTACCTCCACATAGATGTAAGATTTTACTTTGAGAATGTATAGCCGTGTCAGTCGTACCTTGTCATTTGCTTTTTTGTACATAACCTTTGACAGAGTAAGTTTTATTCTCAACATTACATAATATAACATAGAAGATAGTTATTTTATTATATAAACCAATGATATTCAACACACTGGAACAAAAGAAAATATGTATTATAAAAACAAACGAGTGAAAAAGAGTATACATTTCAGTATACAATACGATATAGTGATAACCTGGGTGTCTTGCAAAGACCCTTAAAACAAAGTCTAATATTGACTTCCACTGGAAGCACAGACTTTACCTTTGGAACAATCCTGAAAAATACTGTATATCATGTCCATCAGTCCGTCCTGGTGCTGCTGACTTTTTTCGTTTGAGAAGCCTCGGAGACCACTGGCTTCCTACTGCCATCCTCCTCACTGACAGAGAAAGAGATGGAAACATATTATTCAAATTAGCTTTGAGCCTCTGTACAGAGTTTGGATGAAAAACAGTACAGCCCAGTACTGAAACTTTTTTAGTAGTGAAAAAAAATCTGACTAGATGCTAATCAACTTATTTAAAGTTTTTGAGTTTTTTCATAATGACCTTTGGGAAATAACCCAAACCAAGCAACAAAAAGATTGTGTCTACATACCAGAATACATCAGTTCATATTCCAGCTATAGCTTTCATATTCAGGACATTCTTTCAGTCACCAGGAGCCAAGTAAATCATTGGTGAGTCAAAGTAAAGGTTGTATGAATGCATAAGTGTTTTTTTATGTAATATACAGAACCTAAACTTGTGGTGAATCCACTCTTTAGTTTGCTCGTCACTGGTCCATTACACACTGATCAATAAAATCACCTTAAAAATGACTTAATACCTTTTATTAAATCCCTTCCAACTATTGACTACATTAATTATTATTACATACATTATGAGTCTGGACAGATAGGGATGTAAACTGCAACTTGACTGGCTGGTGGAGGCATACAATAACAGGGTTCCCACATGTCCTGCATAAACCTGGGTTCCTGTTTTTTCTGTTGGTAGGATAAACCGTATGACACTTCAAAGCGGGTTTGCCAGATGCAAAGTGGAACTGACTTCCAGTGATCTTTTTTGGCATCGAGTCATTTTTTTCCAGAGCCGCAAGCGAAATTCTTATTTCCTGAATACAGCCTAATAATAATCAAATTTTGTGTCGCTGTGGTTGATAAATACACAGTTACTTCTTGGTTTGAACTGATACTGATGGGCTGTGGACAAATGAATGTAGTCAAATTCCCTGAAACCACAGCTTATATGACCGTTTGTAAGCCAGTGTTGTCCTGTATTGTCAAGAAAAAACCTGGATAATGTCTTGGAAGATTCCTGGAAAATTATTTCTTAAAAAGGAACCCTGAACCACAGGGCGGTAGTTCCAAGTTTTTTGTGGTTGTTGTAATTTGGGTGAACTGACCCTATTAAAAACAGCGGTCTGAAAGCGGTGGCGTCATACCTGAGGTTGGATCCCTCCACGTCCTCAATGGTGTCAGGAAGGGGCTTATTGGCAGTCTCAGGTAGCAGAAGGGTAAGGGCAGAGCCCAGCAGAGGGCACAGGCCGCACAGAATCATGGGAGCGTGTGGACTGATGCTCCTCAAGAGGTGCATCATGGGAGCCAGGACCCCTCCGGTCCGAGCACACATGGAGCCTATACCGATCCCATTTTGTCTGCGAGAAGACAAAAAGACTTAGAACCTGAGCACTGCTGAGTCAGCTCCTCTGCTAACAGGTCTCCAAGCAATTATAGGGCCATCAGAGAAATCTGTGACTTGCATTGTTCTTTATCGTCAGCAAGATAAATACAACATGTATCCCTGTACTATGTGGTGTTGACCTGTAGCTGACAGTAGAACTGGAAATCACACTTCACATTAGTGACTAGTAATAAATAACAAAAAAATAAGCCTCTATAGCCAATTCCTCCATTCATGTACAGGGGGGTGAATTTTTATATAACTCACCCAGTTAAATTATATTAGGCATAAAGTTATGCATAATGAAGGGTTTGGCTGCTTTGAGTCACAGGTGGCTGTTTTCAGCTCCACCCACACATGTGATGTCACAGAGATGACGTCCATTTTCGTCATCCAATACTAGTCTCTGATTATACAGAGACGTGTTTCTGTCATTTAGCCTCTCCTCACTGATATAAACGGGATGGACAAAATAATAGACTACCTGTGCCCCTATGGGGAAGACTATTCCACAATGTTGGGGCTAAAACAGCGAAGGCACGGTCACCTTTAGATTTACAGGTAGAGCGTGGAACGGATAAAAGGCCGAGATTTGAGGAGCGGAGTGGCCA